GCAATTTAGAGACTACAAAAACAGAAGAATTTGATATAGGTAGTAAATGCAGGCTTCTCTTAGCTCAGATACATCTCAAGGATTAAGACAAGAGGAGGTGCTAGGTGAGCTGAACAGAAGGACTGGGATTGGAGAGGAACCCAGACCTCACTTGCACAGATAGTTCCTTCTGCCTTAAATGTTCCTTCCTCCTTCTGTGTTCAGCATGATCTCTTCAGCATCATGCTCCCATGAATACAGAGGCCTTCCCGCTCAGACCAGGGCAAGAGGCAGGTAAGAGTGTTTATGCCACAGTGAGCCAACAGAGGAGAAGGCCTCCTCTCTTTGTCCAGTATTCCTGCCTCTGTGAAGCAGGGGTCCAGTAGGCAACTGGGCTGTTCTGGTTATCCTTTTCCATATGAGCGTTTTCTTTGTGGTATCCCACAAAATGAGGTTTTAGTGTCTCAAAAAAGAAAAGCTGAAGATGCCAAATGTGGGCTCCTATTAGCCTGGGCACATTACAAGAGAACAAGCCCCAGGAGAGGTGCTAGATAGCGGAAAGGAAAGTTGAATCCAAGTATTAATGCTAGATTCAGAAGAACTTCTGTATCAGATGTGACCATCTTTCACCCTGACACAGTCCTGTGCTAATGGATTTGTTTCTGATAAAGAGTAGTGAGCAGACAAACTGGGCCCTTCCATGGATACCCCAAGACTTCTGTGGCTTCCAGGGTTTCATGCCTCCTCTGGGAGGGAACACTGCTGTCCTCTCTTCCTTCTGCAATGGCCCCTTTGTTTCCAGCAATCTTGTGTTCAGCATCCACGTGACACCCCACTCCCAACACACATCCAGCGAGGGAGCCAAAGAAACATTTAAACTCTGCATTCCAAAATTGATTGAAGGAAAAACAAGTTCCTGAACATCAAATTTCCTACCAAAGCCCATTGCTATAACAGAAAATCAACAGTTGGGGGGAAAAGATCTCCCATTTCCCAACATACCATACACCCAATTATAAAAATCAGTTATTCATAGGCAGCTGAATTTTTAATTCTAATCCAAGCAGATCTAAAGGTACATCTTCTGCTAAATGAAAGCAGCTGCCATGTGAACATGAGCAGAAGAGGAAGGATAAAGGGGGTAGAAACTCACCAAACACTAATTGGGAACATCCAACATATTTATGCAGTAAAATTCACACTTCTCCCAAGCCAGGGAATGTCACTTCTGCCCTAGAGTTTAGCATAGAGATATCTGGAGATTCATTATTTGTGGAATCTCAAGTGGACCCCAAGTTGCTGAAATCCCCCTGAGTGTTGGATGAAAAACTATATACATAAACATTTCATCAAAAGAAGATACTCTCCAAATGAAAAAATGGAAACAAAGTCTTTGTAGATAGGGAGGGGTGGAGGGGTTGAAGGGAGGGCAGGGGAAGAGGAAAAAATAAGAACCAAGAGAGATTATGTAAAGGTCCACATCTCCAATGATGAATGTCATTATATTGTATACCTAAAATGTACCAATAAAATAAAATTTAAAAAAAGAAGATACTCTCCAAATGTCTCCCTCCCATTGCTTGTTGCCATTTTAAAATTATTTCATGTCTCCTAAAACTGCCTTCCCTGACACCAACAGCCTGGGGCAAGTTTTGTAGCATGCAGCCTTCCATTCTGTCAGATTGAGCATCCAACAAACACTATACTTACTCACAGAAAATATGCTTTCCTCACTTTGTCACTGTGAAGGCTTTGGGGCAGGTGATAAACAGGTTTGTATCTTGCAGACTTCATAAATCAGAATCTGGAAAATGTGTGACACTTACCTGCAGATCCTGTTAAAAATGCGACTAGTAATTTCAAAGATTTTATTAGGAGCCATTTTGTACCATTCGGTTTGAGGAGGACTGAATGATGAATATTTAGATCTGGGAGGGATCTGGGAGATCATGTAGTTTAATTCTTTTGGTGACAGCAAAAAACATTTACTGAGACCCTTCTGCATATTAGATCCCAGAATAAACACAGAAAAGAGTGAACCAGGTTTCTAGACCCAACTTTATAGTCAACAAAGTCAACTATATGGCAATTTAGTAGGGGTAAGGAAAAAGGGTCCCGGGAGTAACTTAGCCTGTTAAAACTTCCAGGAAAAGTTCTCAGAGGAAGTGGCATTTGAACTGGGTTTGGAAGAGGAATTGGAGTTGCCAGCTAGCAATGCATGGGAGGGAGGAGTAAACACAATGATGAGGACTCAGGTACAGGCAGACCCAGTGTGTGGCTGGACACCAGCCCTTCTGCCTTCTGTCCTGTGAGCCTGCACCACTGCAGCCAGGACCAGCCCTCCCACTGCACAAGTGGCCTGCAGTGTAAGGGAAATAACCTTGCCTCCAATTTCACTCAAAACGTTTATTTTTTAAAAGAATATTCAGAATGAAACATCCAATTTCCTTTCATTAAAAAGGAAATTAGGAAGCCACTACAGATCAAAAGACCCAAGGAACGTGCACCCTTCCAGGCAAAGGCAGCAGGGGCCTCACTCTGCCAGGACCCACACCACTTGCCCTGAAATGAGGCTGGTGTTGGACTAGTCCAGTGGTGGAAAAGCTATAGCATGCTTGCCACAGTGGGCACACAGAGCCCTCCCTGTTGGCATGCAAGCCAAGTTGCCCAGCAGCCGAGCATTGGATAACAGTTGTTTCTTCTAAACTACAACCTCTGTATTTAGGTTTAATTGCAGTGTTGGCACTTTGCAATAAGTGGGATTTGTGTTGCAGTTTGTGTACTCGGTCTCCAAAAGTTTCGCCATCACTGAAGTAGACCTTCTTGTTTTTCACTGTGTGGCAGCTGAGAACTCTGCATATGTTGGCAGAGAAATAGTGACTGAGTGGAATTCCTCACTCCCAAAAGGAACCACATATCTGGACTCTTTTTCTGAACTTTTAAAATAGTTTCCAAGTTGCCACTGAAAGGCGCTGGGAAGGCCTTTTTCTAAAGTGCACCATGCTGTAAATGCCACCTCCACTGTCTCTGTCTCCAAGCCACCCTCCAGGCAGCCCTCCCTCTGCTGGTTCAGACCCTTCAGCAGCCACTTAACTGCCCTTCAGTGCTGTGCTTTATTTCTATCTCGATGCCCTTTTTTACACATTTGGTCTCCTAATTAATTACAGACTCGTGGAATTTTAGAAGAGAAAGCCATCCAGGGAATCATTTCTGCCGTCATGTTCATTTTACAGGTGAGGAAGGTGAGGCTCAGAGAGGAGAAGTTAGGGCTGGGGATTTAGCTCAGTGGTTTCACCGCCTGCTGTGCAAGCTCAAGAACCCGAGTTCGATCCCCGGTACCAAAAAAAAAAAAAAAAAAGAGAGGAGAAGTTAGTTGCTTTAGGTTACACACCCTAGAAGAATAGACCCCCTTACCTCCAGGGAAAGATTTTTTTCTCCCCAATGCTGCTGCCCAGGTTCTCCCTGTGAGGCTGCACTTTTTTTTTTTTTATAGCAAAGGCTTACCTTCCATGTCGTAACATCTCCTTCAACAGAACCTTCACAAATGAAAGTTGTGAGCTAAGGCAATGAGTGGAATCCTAAACTCTGCCTCCCTGGCCGATTTTATCCTGTACTTTCCAGTCTGAGTCTGCTGGCTCCCTCTGTGACCTTTAGGAAGTCACTGTACTTTCTCCAGGTCTCAGTTCCCTTCTCCATTAAGAAGGGCTGCCCTTCATTAGCTCCTTTGGACCCTTCAGGATTGGCCTTGCTGCCCACAGCCCTGCCTTGGTCACCCCCTGGCTTCTTCTCTGTAATACATTGCTGTGGGGCGAGATAGCACAGTGGCATGTACAGAGACTGGGCTTGGAGTCCAAGGGTTCAAATCCTGCCTCCATGACTTAATAACTTGTGGCCTTTAGCAAATCACAGCAATCAATACACAGACACTTGACTGATTTAGTTTCGGTGAGATGAGACTTCTGAGTGTAGTTGTTTCTTTGCTTTGTTTCACACCCAGCATCATTGAGAAGTGAGCTGTTCCAAAGAAGCAAATTTTCCAGATAACAAGTTCACCTACTTGAGCTACAAAACATTACCTCATTTTTTTTATCATAATCTCTCTGGGATTGATTCTGAGTTTCTTTGACATTACCAAAGGTATTAGGAGGAGTTAGAGCAAGTAGCATTCCTGTAAAAAAAAAAAAAAAAAGTAGGCATGGTAGCAGGTTCTGGGAATCAAAAGGGAATATGGGAAAAAAATGTGTATACCATTTGAAAGAGCTTGAATGTTTTCATCTTGGTCATTCGAGGGCCACTGAAGAGGTTTTAAGCATGAGTGTGACAAGCATCAGGATTTCTTGACTTGGGCTGCTAGGCGGTGAATAAATCAGGATAGGAGCAAGAGAGAAAGCTAAAAGGCCAGCCATAGGCTGTTGTTGCAACCCCAGTGAGGGATGGTGGCAACCTGGATGGATATATGGCAAATCAGAGGTGAGAAAAAGAGATTTGCAAATGCCTCGCAGCTTTATGTGAAAACAAATTGATGGAGTATTAACCCATTATGACAAAAACATAGAGCCCTGAGAAGATGACAAAAAAATCACCCAGGCCGTGGTGCCACCACCTGCCTTGCAAACACATGGTCCTGAGTTTGATTCCTGGTACAAAAAGAATCACCCAGGAACCCACTTCCTGAAGATAACCACTTCTCCTGGGTTAAATGGTTTTTCTCTCAATGGTGTTTAAGCTGAAAAACTTCCAGTGCATTTGTAGAGACAAATTTGATTTATAAAAATTTGGCTCAGGCATTTTGCAGAACACATCTCCCAGTGTAGGTTGAGACGTATTTCAGTGAGAGTAGGTATAACACAATTTTAACTCCATTGGTTTCCTTCTATGACTGGGCTGGAACAGTCTTGATACCCTTTCTCTACAGGATAACCTCAAGCCTAAGGGTCTCGGTTCACCTGAGGCTGGATTCAGAGCTTTCTGTTTGGTGCAGAAGTTTCTCTTTTCAGCTCTCCCTCTTTTTTCTCCCCCAGAATCAGTGGATAACTGCCCCAGCAACTGCTATGGCAATGGGGACTGCATCTCGGGGACTTGCCACTGCTTCCTGGGGTTTCTGGGCCCCGACTGCGGCAGAGGTGAGCATGCTCATAGGTTCTTGATCTCTTCTCCCCTCACCCTTCAGGCAGCTTGGGCTTCACTTCTCAGAGCAGGTGCAGAGAACCCCAGACCACCTCTGTGCCCAGAAGGGTTCCTGAGGGTCATTCTTCAGAAGCCCATCAAGGAAAGTCTCCAGGTAGAGTCGGGAGGGGGGGTTCCTCGAGGCAGCCCCAGTGAATTTAGTGTCCTTTGCTGGAGCAGGCACAGTGACATGGGATCCTTTTACAAAGCTGCTTATCCCTTTAAGGAGAGTGATCAGCCTTTGCCAAACATCTTTGAAGTTTCTCCTCATGCAAGTGTGATTTCTTTCTGGGCTGTGGACAGAAGGCCTAGGGGGGGTGACTGCCTTCTAGCAGCACAGGTAGCATCTTAGCTCAGGCACCAGGGAGGGACTTGGGAGGCCAGGCTTCCCCTCTCACACATGACCCTAAAGATCCTAATGCTTTGGCCCATATGATAACCACTACTGAGATAGCTTATAAGGCTGCCCACCTGCTATTCTGTGCTTTTAACCTTCATTTCTATCCTGGAAGAATGAATAAGGAAACTGCCAAAGGAGATCGCTAGTCCTGAGAATATGATACTGCACTTGGGAAACAAAAATGGGCCCTTCTTTTAGTTTGTTCATCGTTTTATTCATTCAGCAGCCATTTGCCTCATGCCCACTTCAGGCTCAATTCTTTACTGAGTCTGGGGTTATGACACTGAGCAAGACCGAGGCCTGGGAGTCCTCAGCGTGTTCTGGGATGGATGAGCAAATACGTAGCTGCAAAGCAGCACCATGATAAGTGCAGCACACAATAGCAAGATCTAATGTGGCTGTCTGAGCTTAGAAGGGAGGAGGATTAGATCAAGACAGCTCCCAGATGAGGTGGCATTGGGCCCGAGTGCTGAGGCCAGTGAAGTTGTCTGTGGGTAGGAGACAGAGATGGTTTTGCAGGCTGAGGGAACAGTTTCCTGCAAGCACTATGCCATGATGCTACTCTAGGGATTCTGCTTATTTTAGCTAATGTGAAATAGACTCCGTTGGAGGCAGCAGAGCTGGCAGCCCTAGGAAGCACAATGATTACCTGCTGAGTGCTTGAGAAAGGAAAGAAGCCAGGTGGGGGCCAGGGAATGTGGTGCAGAGAGAGATGAGTCATTCCTCCTAACAAGAATTACTGTCTCATCCCATATGCACTTAAAGTTAAGAGTCATGTATAAAGCAGCCTTATTGTATCTTAGTAAGGCTGGCAAGTACTTATGGCACAATGCAATATAATTTATTTTTATATAGTGTCCTTCCTAGAGCTGATCACAAAACCCTTTCCGCTAAGAGGTAGAGTGGAAAGATAATACTTTAAAGAGCCTAGTTGGACTCAGCTCTTCTCTTAAGGGGGCAGTGGTATGTGGAGGTGGAATGGAGGCCTGAAAGACAAGGGAAGCTGAGACTTGCTGGGTTAAAGACTGCAGTAAGGGTGTTGCAGATGAGGCTAGGGAAGTAAAAATGGAGTGCTGTTAGGTACAAGGTGGGAGAGATTCAGGGCAGCAGGAGGCCTGGCCACTGTCCTTTCCTGTGAGAATAAGACACAGACTGAGACTTCCTGTCTCAGTTCATGGCAGGCACCATACCACGTCAGCAGTAGGAAGGGACAGGGGAAGATGGTGTCCAGTGTTCTCTGCACTGCATGTCTTCACCTGCAATTCCAGAGATATTTAAACTGCAGTGGAATAAAGCAGATGCAGATGATGAACACACACAGGTGTTTTTTGCAAAGCACTGAAGCTCTTGGTTGAACCATGCAGGCCAAGGGAAGAAAGGGAGAAAGGCAGGTGGGAATGCTGGGTAGTGATTTATACTAGGCTTCTGGTGCTGTCTCCACAGCCTCTTGCCCCGTGCTCTGCAGCGGGAATGGCCAGTACATGAAGGGCAGGTGCCTGTGCCACAGTGGCTGGAAAGGTGCCGAGTGCGACGTGCCCACCAACCAATGCATCGATGTGACCTGCAGCAACCATGGTACCTGTATCATGGGCACCTGCATCTGCAACCCTGGCTACAAGGGCGAGAGCTGTGAAGAAGGTGAGGTCAGCTGTAGCTGTCCCCTGAGATGAAGGCCAGCACACAATGCTGTGAGGGCAGTCAGGAAGCAGGGGGGCCCCGACTATCTGCAGCCCCTCTCCTTCATCAGGAGCCCACCAACAGCAGTGTAAACCCGAAGGAAAACCATAGGGCTGGAGATGTAGCTCATGGTAGAGTGCTTGCTTAGCATGTGTGAGGCCCTGGGTTCAATCCCCAGTACCACACACACACACACACACACACACACACACACAGTTCAAATGAAGAGGACTAACATGTCAGGATGCTGGTCCACAAAGGGGATGAGGATTGCCACCTGTGCTGGAGGCCTCATTCCATCTAACTTCCAATCCCATAGGGAGGAATCCATCTTCACATCCAACTTGGGGAAACTGAGATCCAGAATGCAGAATGATTTGCCCAAGCCTGACTCAGGTGTTCTGGCTCCATTCTCCCCCTCCTTCTCCTTTAAGGGCATCTGCTCATTTTCTGTCTCCATTTCTGAAGTTAGAGTCTGCTACAGATCTTCACAGCCTGCCTTCCTGTGTTACATTGTGTGTGGGTGTGTGTGCATGTATGTGTGTTCCTATGTGTGGCTCTTCAGTGCTCGAAGACATGCCTCTCTCCTTCATAAACACATGGCTAAGTAGACCGAGGATAGAAAGTGACCTTCTGATTCAACTGTGACATCTGTTCTTATATGGAAAATTTAACCACATGGGATACATCAATATTTGTATTTCACAAATGAAGAAACTGAGGCCCAGGAAAGGCCAGTGATATGCTCAGGGTCATAGAACTGACTAATGGCAGGGCTAGGATTCAGCCCAGGTCTTCTCCCTGTCATTGCAGTGTTCTTCTATCTCAATTTAATGGGTTTCCCAACAAGAGGAGAAACTCATTCACAAGCATATAGAGTACACTTTCTGGGCCCAGCATAGTAACACATGTCTGTAATCCCAGATGTTCAGAAGGCTGAGGCAGGAGGATCACAAATTTGAAGCCAGGCTGGGTAACTTCACAAGGCTCTGTCTCAAAATAAAATTAAATTAAAAGTGGCTGGGGTTGTAGTTCCACATCAGAGTGCTTGCCTAGCATTTGTGAGCCCCTGAGTTCAATCCCCAGTACTTTAAAAAAAAAAGAAGAGTGCACATTCTAGAATCAGATATACATTTGAGTTGTGGCAGTGCCACTCACTAGCCTCAGTTCCCTCCCCCCTAAATGGGAATACCTTTCTCAGAGGGCCATTGTGAGGATCGAATTAAATGACCCATGTAAAACATGTACCTCAGGGTCTGACACATAGTAAACGCTCCATAAATGTGGCTCTTATATTATTAGTATTGTTCTGGGGACAATTGAAGCACTTTTCCCATTTCACCCCACATACTTCATCCAAGGTCTTTTGAAATGGATGGACTCTGTGGTTTGAAGCTGATGGATGACATATGCATTTGTTACTTCCTGCTCTCCTCCCTCTATGGCCTGGCCCCTCCCCCAGCGGATGGAAGAGGCCCCAAGGAGACCTGGTCTTCTAAGCCTATATGGTATTTAACACAGAGCCTCTGTGTAAGGCTTCATTTTCTCTTAAAAGAGAGAATGTTAACAGGCTCCTTTCTAAGAGTGGAGAATGAGAAGGGATTAGTTTCTGAAAAGCATGGCCTCTCTGAGATGGGCTGGACCTCTTGGCTTTGATGGGGATCGCTGTGGGCTGTCCAGAGGCGAAGAGTTCCAGCCCCTGGACAAAGGAACTTGGCTTTCTTATCCAGGGTACCGAGACCTTCATCTGCTTTCCCTTTCATTTTGGTCACTCGGAGGTCAAGACCCTGAGAAAGAAAGGAAAACAAAGAGCAAATTCCTGTTGAAACAGTGGGCTGTCTCTCAGTGTGGGCCAGGGCCGGGAAGGTGGCTGTCCCGAGACGAACCAGCACTGGACAATGCCCCAGAACTCGAGGATTATTTACAAAGAGAAAAAATGTTGTTTAGAAGTCTGATTTACATTATCTATTCAAAAAGAAATGTTTTCACTCCTGCTCTCTTTTCTGAGGAGGGCCATCTGGGACTGATTCCTTTTATTATTTTTCTTTCTCTGGTGAGGCGTCCTTGCATGGTCCTGTGTTTATAATAGGGTTTTCTTGGGGCCTCCCTCCTCTTCCCCCTCCTCCCTTGGCTCTGTGCTAACCGGTTTCACTGTGTTTATAAAACATCAGCTAACAAGCTTACTTTTTTCTCTCTCTCTTCCTTCTTCTGAAGTTTATTGCCCCATATTTTTTAAGGCTTGAACTGAGCCAGCAGGCTGGGTGAAGGAGGTTGGGGGCCGGGGGACTTAGAGTCTTGACCAGGAAAAGTTAGACACTGTGCTTGGTCCTAGAAGGTGTCTCATAGCTTGTGTTGTCACTGAAGCATGGAACATTTTGAGGAAAGGGTTGTGTTTGCAGCCTGTCATGCAGGCCTCATCATTTCATTAATGGGCTCAGCTTTGGCTAGAAATTTTGGCTCAAATGGCAAACTCGGCAGAGGAAAAATATGTAACTGTTTGACACACCTTCTAAAAGGAAACTGAATAAGACCTTCTTCTAAACCAAGGTAGGCAACTACCCTGACAACGTCTACCCTCTCCTAGATCCTGCGTGTCCCACCCCAGGCCTGCCAGTTCTTCCTGAGTTCCACGTGGCTTCCAGGAAATAGCTAGAGTTTCTGAGGCCATCCCAGTGGGGTGTGAGGGATGAAAGCAGCTCTGATCCCACCCCAGAGGCCCATTGTGGCACAGAGAATGGCCCCAGGTTTAGGATCAGTGGAGTGCAAGGACAGAGACATCCAGGGGAAACCTCAGCCAGTGCAGCCAAGGGTTACTGGAGCTGCTACCTCCTGCTCCACATTCACTTTACCCACAGAAGGATGAATTGTTTGGAGCTCAGCTTACCTTGGGTCCTCCTGATCTTTGTTCTGTGCTTGGACCATCTGCTGAAAGCATGGGAATCACGAACAGGACCTGACACCAAGGGCCTTTTGCTAAACTTGGTTCCCTCCAGCCTGCCTGCTTCAGTGCAGATTTACAGGTTTGACCTCAAGGATGCCCTGGGCTTCTCAGAGACCACTGCAACTCAAAGCTGGAGTCCAGCCACTCACCAAATGGGAAATACCTTTATCGGCCCCAGGGTAGGAATTGCTGAGTTGTTTCCTGTTAGATTGGAAAGCCCTCTGGATCTAGGGAATTATCATAGTAGCCTAATGGGCCAGAATAATCCTTCTGAGGGCCTGAGATCTGAGTCAGGTCATGAGAATTTGTCACTCTTGTTACTTTTATTATTTTAATTACCAGGAACTCCAACAAGTCATGCCTTAACCATTACTTAATGGTATCCAGAGACTGCAAGAGAAGAGTCTCTGCCTTTACTTGGCTTTATTAATTCTCCACATTGCCTTGTTTCTTTCTGCACTTTGTTTTGATTTCTATTTTTAAGCCACTTCATGTGATTATGTAGGTATATACTCATGCATTTTTGAACCATTAAGATTATAAGAGAAAATAGCAAGAGACCTAGACCAAGAAAGAGTAATTCAAATGTAAATTTCTCCACTGTACCATTGTGTTATCATGAGCAAGTTATTTAACCTTGCTGCGTTTCACTTTTCTCATCTGTAAAATGAGGATAATAATAGCATTTATCTTATATATTCTTATATATAGTGTTGTTAGTATTAAATGAGATAATGTATATAAAATGTTTAATGGCAAAATGTAGCACAGGGGAGTGACCAAATTAATGCCAACTATTGTGATTCTTACTGTTTTGCCAAATACTTGCTCCTAACCTGACACCTGATCTCATTTATTATTTAGGTAGTTAAGTTGAACTCCTTTAAAAACCTGAATAGTGAAACAGCTTTCTTAATAAACTGGTCCTCAAAATAAATGTCCCCAGAATGTTGCCATAAAGTCTCTGCCTATTTGTGTCAGTAACTGTTATATACCCAGGCCGAGTGTCTCAGATTTTGTGCAAAAGTCAAATCTCCATTATAAAATATAATTAATAAGTTAAAACAATGTCTGAGATATAAAGGACCTCTGTCCACAGTTTGCCAAATCATGCTACTGTGCAGATGGAAAAGTAACCTCTTTGCAACTCTTCTCAGTTTATTCAGTCTTTCCAAATTTGCTGTCGTTTGTTCTCATAGTAACCTGAGAGATGGGGATTTTTACATACCTGTTTTATAGGTGGGAAGCTGAGAGCAGGCATGTAATTTGACCATGGACCTAGAACAAGTACGTTATGTTTCCTAACCCTAGAATCTATGTCCTCAGGGCTGAGATGCTAAGTTCTTTCCTCTGCAGCGTAGGGCTTCCTCATCAGTTCCTGTAAGGCAGACCCTCACTGAGTGTTGTCCGCACTGTTTCTCCAACAGCTACTTGTTGGGCCCCCAAAAGGACACTATGTCCTCCCTCAAGTATGAATAGAATCCCTTTCCTTCCTAGAGCAAAAGACAAACATAAAAACTTTTTGGTAGAGTAGAGTGAGAGCAGGATTCAATCTCCTTTGTCAATTCTGTCTTCTCTCTGCTATCTTTCACACTTTTCATATGAACTAGAAGTTAATTAACAGAAGTTCATTCTCAGTAGCCTTTTACACCTATGATTCAGTGCTTTGTGGAAGGTTAGCTGTCTTTGTTAATTTTGTGTAGCCCCGTAACTAAATCTTTGATTTAAGAATTTCAGCCCTGAGAGAAATATCATTGGCTTCAGAATCAGACAGATCTGTATTCAAATTCCTCTCTGGAGGAGGAGAATTGGAACCCTCATACACTACTGGTAGAAATGTTAAAATAGTAGAGTGCTGTGGAAAACATTGTATTATTTCCTCAAAAAGTTAAAAATAGAATTACCCTATATCCAGTAATTCTTCTGGGCAAATACTCAAATTAATTGAAACCAGAATTTTGAACAATATTTGCACCCCTCAGTAGCCAGAAGATAGAAGCAGTCCACATGACCATGTGACAACCCATATGACAAAATGTTGTATATGCAGACAGTGGAACATTATTCAGCCTTTAAAAGTAAGGAAATTCCAGCACATGCCATAACAATGGGGACTCGCAAGAATATTGTGCTAAATGAAATAAGCCAGTCACAAAAAGGCAAACACTACATGATTCAACATACATGAGGTGCTTGGAGTAGTCAGATTCTTTCAGACCCTTTTCTTTGGCCCTGCAGGGGCTACTTGGCTGAGAGCTACAGCCTCTTAGCTCCCTCACATAAGAAGAAGCCGTGCAAAGTCAGGACATGTAAGGTTGAGTAGTCGTTGAAATGTTTGCCCACATAAAAGTGATATCTGGAAATTCATATCAATCATGAGAATTTGGAGATGATGAAATCTAGTGGAATTTAATTGTGAAATAAATTCTTATTTAAATTAAGGAATCTATTTTAGTCTCTTGCTCATATAAATAAAATTGCATTATGAAGTAATAAACAACAAAAGTTTGTCCTATGAAGATTTATTGAGTACCTCTTATGTGTTAGGCTCTGGTCTAGGTGGTGGGAGACAGAAATGAACAAACCAAGTCTTGTCCTCTACTATGCACATGGCAGGTACTAGGTGCTCTGCTGATGCTGGGTACACATTTGTACTCTGTCCACCTCTCAAGCCAAGAAGTAGAAATTTATTTCCACAATTTACATGTGAAGAAACAGAGCCTCAGAGAGGTAAACAACCAAGCCTGCCATTGGCTAAAGCACTGCTGACTACCACATCAAGTGGCCTCCCCACTGGTAGTCAGCATCCTTCTCATAAAATGTTGACTTATAGAAGCCTTGTATTGCTGGCCAGATGTTAACCTGTGTTCTCTTTTCTCCTTGTCACAGTGGATTGTATGGACCCCACATGTTCGGGCCGGGGTGTTTGTGTGAGAGGCGAGTGCCACTGCTCCGTAGGATGGGGAGGCACCAACTGCGAGACTCCCAGGGCCACATGCTTGGACCAGTGTTCAGGCCACGGAACCTTTCTCCCAGACACCGGGCTTTGTAGCTGTGACCCAAGCTGGACCGGACACGACTGTTCTATTGGTAAATGAGGGGAAAAGAGGGGCACAGGGTGGGTGGAGAAAGGAGCCTTCTACTATAATGTCACCCAGTGGGTCATACTCAGTGGCATAACCCTGCTCTCAGTAGCCTACCAATGGATCCCTCATGTCTTCAAATGCTTGATGCTAGTCTTCTATACCTTTCTTCTGGGATGGGCAGAGAGCTCAAAAATTACATCTTCATTTTATTCCTTCCATAATGGTAGCCTCAAATTCACAACAGTGCCCTTCTTCAACATTAATAATGGGACCTGTAATAGGTATGTTTCACTGAACTCTGTCACAGTAGAATGGTTATCCCTGGAGGAAGAGCAATAAGCAAAGTCCTTAGCTAAGAGCTGCAGGAGAAAGGCTTGATGGTAGATTCATATCCCAGGTGCTGTACTCTTTGATTTCATCCATTTCTAGAATGAAATCTAAGCTCAGTGTCATTTTTAAGGTTCTCTGTGATCTGGCCCCACCTGCCTGTCTGGCCAGATGCTCTTCTCGATTGTAGGATCCATGAAGGTAGCAAACATGTCTACTCACGGCTGCAGCCCCTGGACTCAGCATAGGCCTGGCCATCACAGCAGCTTGGTTAATATTGATGAATGAATGAACATATGATCTGGTTCCCCACAGAATCTATATGTATAAAGTTCAAAGGATGCTACTGTTGGCATCCTTCTATTTGTAACCATGTTATGATTCATAAACCTTCCTGAAGATTAAATAAGAACATATGTGAATCACCTACCACAGTATTGGTATATAGTACTTTATGTTCACATTTAATACCTCATTTAATCTACACAAATCCCTGTGAGAAAAGAATTCTTGTCATTCCTGTTTCACCAATTTATATAACACTTCAACTAATAATGAATGCTTATTGAGTACCTCCAAGGTATGTTGGGTACCCTTCCAATCAGAGAGCAGAAAATCCCTGCCTTTGTACAGCTTACTTTCTGGGAAAGGAAGAGGGATGACTACAAATAAGAAAAATTAAAACAAACTTGATAAAGAAACTCAGGCTCAGGGAATTTTAAAGAACCCATAGCTAGAAAGTGATAGAATCTCCAAGTCCACTTTTTTACTCTAAATCATTGTCCTCACCACCCCATGTTATTACAACAAAATGAAGCTCAAATTAGCTCATTATGCAGCATATTAACAGTTCTGGTTGTAATCAGGAAAGATGATGGAAATCTTTGGCAAAAAAATGAGATCCTTGCAGCATTCCCATAGTTGGAGTGCTTTGCAACTTTTCCCATTGAATGGAGGATTGACATTCATTGCATAGTCTAAGTTGGACTTCTATCCTTGTTTGCAAAGCTCATGTAAAGACATGATTGTGAGCACAGATGTGCAGAGTCTCAGGAATAATTCCTTTATATAGCTCTATTTATAGAAATATAATAAATGGTCCTCTTAAAGCTATGCTGGCTTGTATTGTTCATTATGTAGCCACAAAGCTAATTTATGATAGATCTGTAACTGTGCCTTGCACTGTTAATTCCTGATGAAATTCCACAGCCTTGGAGGAGGCAGGTATAACTTTGAGTGAGATTTCTAAGTATTCTCTAGGGTGTCCTGTAAAAAAGAGATAGCAGAATGTTTGGAAGGGACTTAGAATAAGTTTGTTGATCTCATCTTGCTCTGTCCTGCATCCACCACTCCCGTAACTGAAAACCAAAAATATATGTGAATTGGGCTGGGGATTTAGCTCAGTGGTTCCGCCACCTGCCTCACAAGTGCAAGGTCTGGAGTTCAATCCCTGGTACATATATATATACATATATATATATATATAATAAAAACTATAAAAAAACCTGTATGTTTTTGTGCTTTAAGAAAGAGGT